CAGCGTGTGCGGATGTGGATGATGGACTGAACGATGGCTTCGCACTCCTGGTGCATGAACGTGAGAGGGGTGCCCTGGTTAGCGATGGTCAGTGTGAACTGGTTCTCGTCCACCAGGCATATCTCCTCGATCTCTGAAGCATAGTATATGTCATTCAGGAAAACGGGCTGTCCCAGTACACGCGTTCGCTCAGCAGAGGTCACCTGAACAGCTGTTGATCCCACCTAGGTTGAATGGGCCAAAAAAGAAAAAAAGTCTAAAACTCTGGGATTTACACTCTGGGTTATAGTACCATATAATAAAAGTTAATATTTAAAAAGACTACTATTTTAAAACACTGTTAAATCTTTAGCAAATCTCAAAATGAATATCCATTTTTATATTGTACAATTCAATGTTGTGATGCCTAAATTAATTTGTATCATTGAAAGAGAATGATTTTTAAATGTATATATTTCTATTTTTTATATTTAGTTATTTTTATTATTACATTATTTTACAGAGCCTCGCATATGACATGTGGGAAAAAATATAAATAAAAAAAACACAAATTAAGAATTTGTTCCCTCATTTTAACAAAATATGAACAAATTAGTATAACCTAGCCACTAATTAATAAAACTTGGGAACAAATTCCTAATTTGTGGCCACTATTTAACTAAAAAGGGAGACTGAATTAATAAAACTTAATTTGTGGAAATAAATTCTTAATTCTTGGCCAAGATAAATATATTTTTGTCCACAAGTCATGTGCAAGGCTCCGTATTATTTATTTCATTTACTATATACATTTATTTAGAAAAGTATAGAATGACATGAAAATTCCTATAGGCTTTAATATGGGTGCATCCCTACTAATAAAGTCCAGCATTTAAGTTAAGAAACTGACTAATGTAGAAAATATTGGTATCTAAACTGAGCTCAAAATAACACTTGGGTTGAGTTTTGCACATATCCATAAGCTCTTACCTTGATCGACACCTTTGTGTCCTTGTGCGCCAGTTTTAGGGCATTGTGGAACACTTTGAGGTCCTCTTCCAGTGCCAAGGTAGCTGCAGGTAGCTTCTGCTGCTCAGGTTCGATGTATTCAGCTAGACGTGCAGGCGAGTCGATAAACAGCAACTTCTTGCTCCCCTTGAGGCCGGTCAGTAGTCGCTCGTGGTATTTGGTGTACTCTCGTACCCAGGTGTTGCAGTTGTAGATGTACACGGCAGCCACATTGTCGTAGGCAAAGTTTGGAAAGACCACAAACCACTTGGACAAGAAGTCCGTCTTGAAGCGGTTACTGGGGCCCACATGGGTGAGGTCTACTACGATCTCATAGTGCTTGGCGTAGTACGGCTTGAGGGTCAGAAGGACGTGGTAGATCAGAAGATCACCATTGATTTGTCCGGTTTTGAACCTAAAGAGAAATAACAATAGTTTGAATTTGAATGTATTTTTGCTTCTAAAGGTGATGCACTGTGCATCTTGGAGAAGTGTATTTTGTGAATAAAGTCTAAAAACATATATATATATATATATATATTAGTTAGTTAGTCATTTCAAACACTTAAAACATGAGCCGTCTGTACCAATTCCCTTAAATGGCAAACCTCTGACAGCGTACACAAAATGGAAACCAGGTTATCAAATATAGCCCTGTTTTCTACTGTTGTAACTACAGGTCAAGAGCATCTCAACTGAAGATCACCTAAATAACATCAACAAGCGTGGGGGACAGAAAGTGATTCACAATATATCAAGCCTCGTTGCTTCAGGTCGTTGCTCTTCATCTTCCAGCTCTCCCTCTCCGGATAAGTCCCTAAAAAAGGCTCTATATACACTTTAGTAAGTACTTATTTGTTCACCAATTATCTCTAAAGCTTGTGTAATTGAGAGTTTGGAAAACAGAAGGCAGGAGAGCAAACTACTCATTAGTGTTTGTTAATGTTTTTATTATACAGTTAAAGTGGCTAAAGAGTTTTAAAACCTATTTTAACAAAAAATTGGTGCATTTTAAAATCCATATACATGAATTAAAATCATAGCGATTCATGTTAAATTATGTACACTACCATTCAAAAGATTGGGGTTGGTAAGAATTTTTAAGGTTTTTGAAAGAAGTCTCTTATGCTCAACAAGTCTGCATTTATTTAATCAAAAATACAGGAAACAGGAATAGTAAAGTAGCTAAAATAAAATGATTATTTTTCATGTGAGTTTTCAGTCATACAATCCTTGAGAAATCATTCTAATGCTGATATGATGCTCGAGAAACATTTCTCATTATTATCAATGTTGAAAACAGTTGTGCAAATATAAAATTTGTGGACATCATGATTCAGTGCGATTCAGGGTTCTTTGATGAACATAAAGCTCAGAAGTAAGATATTTATTTTAAATAGAAACAGAAATGTCTTTACTGTCACTTACAGACAATTTAATGAATCCTTGCTGAATAAAATCATTAACTTCTTTAAAAAAATCTTACTGACCCCAAACTTTTGAATGGTAGTGTACATAAATAATGTTCTTATTTTTTTTTTCCATTAGCCAAGCTTTTTTACATTCAGTTTGAACAGACAAATTGAATGTCGCTGGAAACATATTGCATCATGCCTGGTTAAAACAGTGTAACTTGTAGTGAAAAGCTAAATGAACTGCTAAAGAATATTCAAAAGAACATGTCCTGCTGAATAACAGTATTTGTTTGTTACATAGATCTCAAAATACAGTGACAATGCAGACCACAAACGATCTGATGTACACCGCCACCATGCAAGAGTACGAAGACCTCAACATTTCCTTTGCGACAACTAGTTTTCCTGCAACTGGTGCCTCCGAGATCAGCTGTTTTATTGATGCCCAGCTAGCGTTTATAGCAACTGCAACTGCTGGTGGTGTCATCCTGATCCTTCTGACCTCCACCATAGTGTTGGCATGTACCGTCTCAAGCCTGAAACGTCGTCACCGGGCCCCTCGTCCATCCCGAAGCAATGCAGACCTGGTGAGTGGAACGGGCTACTGGGGTACCGAGAGAAGAGAGGGCGGCATTGTGGGTCCATGCGAAACCAGCGTTCTACTGGAGGAGGTAAAGACAGACGGCGAGGAGGAAGAGATGCATGATGGCGCGGCAGGGCCGAGCCAGTACATCACCACTTCTAACGCAGCCGGTGATTCAGAGAGCGTCCCGACAGCCATTCAGAGCTCAACCTCAAGGGATTCCTGCATAGATCCCATTAGTTTGGAGAACATGCCTCTCATGGTGTAAAGTATAAGAGCTTTTTTGTATGCTGGGCTCCGATGTTAGGCATTTTACTTCTCTTTTTTGCCTTTTTTTTTTTTTTTAAATGTCTTCAACAGTTCAGCTACTGCAGTTAAAAAAAAATGCTAACAAATGTGCGCAGCAACAAGCAGCCTTACAGGGTTTTTCAGAATTGTTTAACTAACTACAATTTCTGCTCATCCTGTTAAAAGGAAAATTCTTGAATTATTAGATGAATTTGATGGGTCAAATAGTCAGTAAATAGAAAACTTTGACCTTTTCACAGATTAGGTCAATGCAGTTCTCTCATCTCAATCAGCTCTGGAGATCTGTTTAATGTGGATGACAAGGACAACAAGTAAATGAAATTTCTGTGTATGTTTGTATATACTGTGAAATTGGTATCTAACATCAGCATTGTCTCACATTCTGGCTATTTTTTTAATATGACAAGCAGCAGCATATTTCCAGAAATCGAAGAGCACATTTACTCGCTGTAGACAAAGAGCCAAACAGATTAACTCTATACACTGTGCACAAATAGCAGACCACAAAATGTACTTAAAGCTGGTGTGTGCGTGTAATTTCTGCTGTAATTTCCACTACAGTCACCAAACTGCATTGCAAAAATAATGAATGTTTTTGAAACATTTATCTGCCATTGGTCGGTCAAACAGTTTGGATGAAACAACCTATGAATGGCTTGCTAATATTTAACTCCGAATATTAAGCAGGGACAAAAGAAATCACACACTTCAGTTTTAAAATGGGTAAAGCAATTCCATTCTGCCTTCCACATCCTATAACAATGAGCAGGTTTTCTCTCCTAGAACACTGACATCTCAATGTAAAATAAAATGAAATGCTACTGATAAAAATGTTAGTTCTGTTTATCATTTACAATCAGATTTTGATATTTCCTGAGTGTTGCTTGCTGTGCGAAACTCACAACAGCAATGCTACTGTTAAGTTAGTTGCCATATTTAGCTTCAGAAGGTGTTATTGGTGGTTAAAAAGTGGGTGTTCAGTGAAAGGAACTTTCCAAGATTACAAATAAGAGGCATGAGATCATTTACCTTTAGATGACTTCTGCTCTGCAAAGAATTCTTTCTCTTATAGATATTTTTGAACAATTAATAACTGCTTCTTTCAGAAAATCAACAGCAGTGCTTTAAAACACCTCAAAAAGGAGCCTCATATCCTAGAACACAGTTTAGATAGAAAAACGTGCTTCTGTTTTTCATACTCTGTTACCACAGATTCTTTCCTCAGGAAAAAAAAAAACTGCTATTAGCAAAAACGAATGCAGCCATTTCACAGCTTCATTTCCTGTCAAGTGAAGTGACAGTTCCGTATTCATCACTATATACTTCAGTTCAACAAATGCTTCAGAGGATGCCCAAGTAAGTAAATATTCTGCTGTTTTGTCTAGCATAAACCAATAATTAAGTTATTTAATACTGCACAGCAAAACATTTAAGTCACGTTTTTAAAGTAACTACATAGCACTACAAAATAGAGTAGAAAACAGTCTGTCAGAAACGAATTGTCCAATATTGACTGCTAAATAAATGAAAAACCTACTTTTTTCCATTGTCATTGTCATGCTACGAGAATTCACTTACAGTGAGTGCAACATTTGTATACAAGCATTAGTTGCATTTTGTAGAAGTTACATGAAAACGATAAATGTAAAAGTTTTAATCTGAGCATACTGCAAGAGAATTTGTAGGGAGATAAGGTCTGTTGAGTCTTATTTGTAAAAATGTCTCTTTTTGGCAAGGTTCTCTAAGGACACCATGAGGACTACTCTTTGCACACTTGTCTTCCTCTTCTCTCTACCATGGAGTCTAAACGGCCATTTAACAACCAGCCATAAGAATATTGAGGTAACAAACACAGCAGAAAATGCATCAAGGCAGAGGGACTACACTATTGATTCTGGAACAGAAAACGTGGTTTCACTTTCAAGAAGCGTTCAGACGCAACACCTCACGAGTCACTCAGAGCAGCAAGGTATCCGGCTGAGGACAACCAATGGTGAAGACGAGACATCAAGGACAAAGAGGAATGTACATTATGACACACACAACTTGACTACTGCGTCAACACACCCTGAAATGCAAATGCAGGACGAGGTAACTCTACAAAAGGAACAATTAAAACCAACAGAAAGTACCCGCAGACCACATACTACATCTCTTTTGCAGACAGAGAATGCTACAGAATTTAATGCCTCTGCTAAACCACCCAATGCCACAAGAGCAGGTGTTTCACCAGAAGAAAAGACAAGCAGTGGACTTTCTGAGACACAGGAAGCCACACAGGAAACGCCTTCTACTTCTGATTTCACTGGACTCTATGATGCGCAAGCAAATAAAACAGCCATGGATAGCAACAAAACCAATACAAATAAAGATCTTCAAACAGCCCAGCCCTCAATGGAGACTACAGACCAACGAAGCCCAATGACTCATGCCCACACTTCCGCAATAACAACTGTTACTGATTTCAACGGGACAGTAAGCACCAGTGGAGTGAAAACCACAGAGAGGAAAGAAGTCACAGACAAGTGGACAAGCACTCAAGGACCTGAGCTTGAGACTTCATCTATGACTAAGCCAAAAAAGACGTTGACCACCACTAAAAAGACCACCACAAAGCGAAGTCCACCTCCATCTAAAGACAACCAGCAAGCGAACCCAGGTCCTGTTGTGGCGGCTGTGATAGGCACCACTTTTGTCTTAATGCTCATAGCGATAATCTTTATCTTGGTAAGGAAGCGGAAAATGCAAAGAAGGCAGCTAGAAAATCCAGAGTGGGCCGGACCCTCGCCATTTCTGGATGGCGATGTTCAACCGAACTTGCCAAATATGGATGAATCCGAGACCATCAATAGACAAGGCTTCAACCAGATGTCCACTTCCAGATACCTCTCCCAACGGCTCTCAAAACACCTGACATTCGGGAGGAACACAAGTGAGGACGTTCTCATGGGGGACATCCTGCAAGGAAGCACGTTTGGCAGACAAAATCCAGATGAGGTCCAAGCTCCCAATGGGAACCCGACAACTGCTCAAGACTCAACTGAGACAGAAGAAAACAAAATCCAGGAAGGTCAAGCATCTGTGGACTCTTCCGACACCAAAACACCTGCGCCAGGAAGTGCGCAAGAACCTGTGATGGAGAACAAAGAATCAAAGCAGACTGATGACCTCACTCCATCTTTGTCTTCTGGCCCGGATACTGTAATTAAACCGCCTCCACCTTTAGTGTCTATAGATCTTGATTCCCTTTCAGAGGAAGCAGCTCCTTTGCAAACATCAGATGGTGGGATTGTTCCACCTGCTCCACCACTGCCATAATCTCATGTGACTATCTAAAAACCACCAAAACAAGACAACCAACACACTCATATTTGCTTTCTAAAAGTCAAACAAATTATGTAAACACGACTTATTGACTTATCGAAACAAAAAGTTCAGGACATATTAAAGAGGTTGTGTTTTTTATTAGCCAACAGGCTTTAATTATTATGTTAATCATGATTTGCTCCTTGCCAAACAGTGGCTGCTCAATCTAGAGAGAATCTGATTGGACAAAAAGCTGTGTAGTCCAGGATGAATCATCCATATTCTTGGTCAGGGGTGTCTAATCATGCCCCTGGAGGGCCAATGTTCAGAAGAATTTAGCTTAAAACAGCTCCAACACACTTTCCTGGAAGTTCCTAGTGAGTCTGAAGACCTTGATCAACTGCTTCAGGTGTGTTTAATTAGGGTTGGAGCTAAATTCTGCAGGACAGTGGCCCTCCAGGAACAAGTTTGGACACCCCACTTTTTGGTCAATTTTCACAGAAGACAGAGCCTGTATAATTTTAAAATTGCATATCTGCTTGAGGTTAGTTTAAGTACACCAGCATATAGCTGCTTCGAAGCTAATAACTAAAATGTCAATGCTTTTGTCATATTAGTACTTTAAAAAGCAACGTCTACAGGCTAATGTATGGCTAGCTCAGGCATAAAAGCCACAGAATGTCCCGTCTTTATTCTTATGCACTTAAATGTGTTTATGAGAAAGAGAGAATGTAACCACAATACCCAGTTTGTGAATGAATTACTGCATTGCTATTGCCACTGGGAGCATGTCTGAGCTTCAAACTGAGAGGAACTGTCAGACGAACAGACCCAATTGCAGCTCACTCTAAAAATACAAAGTGTTGCAACAACACGGTCTTGTGTCCTTCTTCCTTCAGCTATAAAACAAAAAGGGTAAATGCGAGTTGCAGGACTGTATGCTAATATGTTGCCTTATAAGCACCTTAAAATCTTTAGGGGCATCAGCTGTTAAAGGGGTCATATGTAGATATGTGGGGGCGTGTTAGAACGAGCCGTTTTAGGTAGGTGTGGCTGACTCTTAACTTTTATAAAGAATATCTCTTTGGATTTGAGACTTTAGTCTTTGCAACTTTACAGATCTTCTTTATGCACCAAGAGCTTGTAACACTCCAAAGAGAAAGGAAAACTTGATATCGCATCATATGACCCCTTTAATATAATTTTCGATGCTAATCATTAATCTTATGAATAATTTGCATCAGAGATTAAAATGATCTGTGACAATAGATTTCTTTAATTATAAGAATGCAAACATTATGTCTGCCTGTAAGAGGCCAACAAAGCTGCTTTATCCCAAAAAGAAAATGTAAATACTACGACCAGTGAAACAACAGACACTCATTATACATTTACACTCCAAAATTAATGATTCACAAACTTCAGTGGAAAGATGCTGTTTAAACACTGTCAAACTACATTAAAATTATATTTAGTCAGCATTGAGAGAAAAATTAAGCGATTCAAGAACCTTTAACTGAAACGAACATCATGAAAATCATTATACAGCCGGTTCTCGGTTTCCAACACTAACCCGCTCTGCCTAGGGATCAGAAAACTGAAGTACTACTACTGAGAAAGGTATGAAGTTAGTACAAGTAGTATACTGTGTGTCTTCTGCAGAATGATGAATGCAGGGCCTGTAAACCACCTGCAGCAGAAGTGAAAGAGGAAATGTCATAGCTGAGTCAAATTGGGAAACAGACCACAAGACTATTTTCTGCCTTTTGATTTATTTTCAACAAAACTCACTTCATCCGTTGGGATTGATCGAGAGTTCGGTGGTTACATGAATGCCATTACCTTTAAACTACTAGTTTGTGGGACGCCAACAACAACATTATTATTATTATCATCCAATTCAGACACCATACATTGGTAAAGCTATAGTACTTTTTTGTTAGGGTTATTAGTGGTCGACCGATATTGGTTTTTTGACAGCCGATACCGATATCTTGGAAAGCAGGGTGGCTGATGGCTGATATAAAGCCGATATAATTGTATTTATTTTAATTTATATTTAAGAAATTTTAAATCATTTGAAAATGGATTTAAAATAATTGTGTAAAATAAACATACTTATACTTTAGAAGACAAAGCATTTTTCACAAATAAATTAATATTTATTAAAAATCTAATTAAAAAGGAAGTAAACATGGTAACCAACAGGGCACTCAGTATTCTGGGAAGTTTGTCTGAATCATTATTTTTTATTTTTTCAAATAAAGCCAAGGTAACACTCATTTTACATACAGCACGCAATGAAAATGACATGA